TTTCCTTTCCTTTCCTTTCCTTTCCTTTCCTTTCCTTTCCTTTCCTTCCTTTCCTTTCCTTTCCTTCTTTTCTACCTTCCTTCCCTCCCTCCCTGTGGCAGAAAACAGGGCCCTCCCATCTCTAGTATGTTGGGGCCCTGCCTATAACTTTGGCCCAGACCAATTGGGAAGCTTCTCCTCATCTTCAATAATTACTTCTTTCCCTTCCCCAGCCACATCTTGCCTCCGTCGTCTGAGTCACTTACCTTTTCGAAATCCACTGATTTACACTTTGGATCCGTGTTAGGATTTGTGCCCTGGGCACTGGCAGAGGTCACAGTTCCATTCTCCTGAGGATCCTGGCAAAGGACAAAGACAGGAGAATTAATCCTGGGGAAGGGAGACATGCAAGGATAGCCTCTTCCCACCAATCGATCCCCATTCACTGCAGTGCAAGTGCCAATGAATTGGGAGGCAGAGGGCCTGGGTTCACACCCGGGGCTTTTGTTATTTACTCCAGGTGAGACTGGAGGCAAATTTCTGGGTCAGTTTCCTTGTCTGTAAAATAAAGGGGTTGGACTACATTGTTTCTATGGCCCCCTTCCAATCCTAAATCTTATGGGATAAGAATGAATTCGTTGAAGGAGGTAGCTAGGTTCAGTGGAAAGAACCCTGGCCTCAGAGTCAGGAGAGACCTCAGTTTGAATCCTAACTCTTGCTCTGACCAGATGTGATCTGGAGCAAGTCATCGCACTTCTCTCAGTTTTCTCATCTGTGAAATGGGGATAACACTACTTGCCATATCTACCTTGTAGAGTTGTTGTGAGGTAAATGCTCTATAAACCTTAAAATGCTATATAAATGGGTGGTGTTGTTATTATAATTAAAACTCCCAGAACTAGAGTAGCTGGAAGCTGATGGGGTGAGCCTGAAAATGAGGACTTTTAGAAAACAGGCAGGGCAGTGGGAGATAGATAAGCTAATAGACAGAGGGGGGACAGAGTCGGAAATAGAAATCATTAACATGGAACAGGGAACTCTAGAGGACGTCCCCAGGGTTGGAGCTCCTGAGCTCAGAGCTTCTCTGGTCAGGAGGAGGCCAGGCTCAGGCAGAGGCAGGCACCGTCAGGGCCCTGGGCACCTTGCAGCACTAACCATTATCACACCTACCACTGGTGCCAGCAGCTCCTGGGTAGAAGTTCCTTTCTCTCCTCCTCCCACCCCTGGTTGATTAAACAGGCCCATGGCTCTGTGATGGCTGGGCCATTTGGAATTCTGGAGAGAGTCAGAGAAATGACCCCAGCTTCCCCTGCCCCCAGCTCCAACATGAGGCAAGGAGCTAAGAGAGGAAGTATGTCTCAGTAGGCTCAAGGTTATGTTGAATTAGCAAACTAGGTAAAGTCAACGGGAAAATGGAATGTGCCGGTGAAGTCACAAAAGCAGAAAAAACCAAGAGCCAACTCTGAGGTCCAGAGTGCAGAGCCGAGTTCAGGAAATTCACTCACTCCCTTATGTCTTCCTCCAGCTAAGCTCAAGCCTCTGCCAAAGGGGATTCTGATTAATCAGCTGTAATAAGGGCTATCTGCTCCCTCACTCAACAAATATTCCTAGGGCCAGGCCCTGTGCTAAGTGATGGGGATGCAGCCAGTAGAACAAATGAAACAATTCCTCCTTGCAAGGAGCTGACACTCTCAGATAAATAGAAGTATATATGTCATTTCTTATAGAACAACAGTATTCCAAAACATACACACACACACACACACACACACACACACACACCCCCTAATAGAAGTATATATGGAAGATATGGATTAGAGCAAACACAAAGTTGGGAAGAGAGGCTTTTTCTTTTCCACTTTCACTCTGACCCAATTTCAACTAGGAGTAGGAGTCAGAGTTCACCAAGGGCAAGGAGAGAAGGGAGTTTGTTTCTTGGGGCACCCATGTGTGATCTATCCCCCTTCACCCCTCCATCTCTCCACCCCATCCCACAACTGGTGGCAGTAGCTTCTTAATAGGTCTACCTTCTTCAGTCCATCCTACGCAGGCTGCCAGGGTAGTAATGATCATCACCATCAAGTATTAGCAATTAGTCAACAAACATTTATTGAACACCTACTATGTGCTAGACAATCACTGCCCTCATGGAATTTACATTCTATTGGAAGAAAACAAAACCTACACATTAAAACACAGGCAAAATAAAGACAAGCTAATTTTGGGGGGAAAAGGTGGAACAGGTGGAGATCAGGGGTTTGAGTTGGGCTTTGAAGGACATCAGTCATTCTAAGAGTCAGAGACAAGGAGGGAGGACATTCTGGTCATGGAGGACAGCCTTTGCAAAGGCACAGAGATGAGAAAGCCATGTGTGAAGAACAGTGGGAAGGCCAGTAAGACTTGACCAAAGATTGTGTGAAGGGGAGTGATGTGTAAACAGGCAGGAAAGGTTAGAGCCCGTTATGAAGGCATTGAATGCCTAGAGAAGACAACAGGCTGGAGCCAGATGATGAAGGGCAATGAATGACAAAGGAGTTTGTATTGGATTCCGGGATCCCTGAGATCCACTTGAGAGTGACACAGTCGGACCTCTGCTCTAGGATGTTCCCTTTGGCAGCTGTGTGGAGGATGGACTGGAGAAAGGGGAGATGTGAGGCAAAAGAGTAGTGAAGGACAGGCAGAAATCCTACAGAGAATACATGCTGCTATCCCTATTTTATAGATAAGGAAACTAAGGCTCAGAGAGCTAAATGGCTTGACCATGGCCACACAGTAAGACTCAAAGACAGGATTCAAACCCATCTCTCTCCTGTCTCCCAGTTCAGGCTGTCCCACATGCCTGGGATGCTCTCCCTCCTCATCTTCCTCTGGCCACCCTGGTAGCTTTCAGGTACCAACTTCCTTCAAGTACCAACTAAAATCCCAACTTCTACAGAAAGCCTTTTCAACTCTTCTTACCTCTACTGCCTTCCCTCTTTTGATAATTTCCTATTTATCCCGAGTAGAGCTAGTTTGTATGAATTTGTTTGCTTGTTATCTCCTCCATTAGATTATGAGCTCCTTGAGGGCAGCAACTGTCTTTTGCCTCTTTTTTTGTATCCCCAGCACTTAGCACACTGCCTTGAACATGAAGTAGGAACTTAATAAATGCTTATTGATAGAGTAGTCAAATTGAACTGCTTGCTACCTTCTGAGCTTTGTATTTTCCTCCCTCTACACCTTTGCTGATGCCACTTTCTCCCCTTACAATGTTCTCCCCTTACAATGTTCTCCCCTACCAGTTTCAATCGATACATTCTTCAAGGAAAACTCTATGCAAGCTTTTATAGCCAGGAAAAGGGATCACAGGATTTCAGACTAGATTGAACTTTACAGATTCTCTAGTTATAGAATCATAGACGAGATGGAAGAGACCTAAAAGGTCATCTATACCAGCTCCTTCATTTTATAGCACCTCAACATTCCTCTATCACAGAGGAGCTTGCAGGCACTTGAATATTTGGCAGAACGAATGCATTAAGCATTTTTGGCTTCAATTAGGAGGTAGGGGGCTCTGTAGTTTAATTGTAATAATCATACTCAATGGAATAAATCTAACAGCATATAACATATAATTTAATTCTGTATATAACATAATATTATATATGATATTATAATGATGTTACATTATAATATGTAATAAATTAAATTCTATATCCTCAAGCAAAACTATGAATGGGTCCTTCCTCTCCTCTCTCCCAACCATCTGAGAACCCATACAAATATCCCTGCCATTCACCCTGGGGCAAAAGCGATGTCCTCTTGTGATTTCCAAGCACCACTGCAGTATCTATGGAAGTGGGATCCACAAGATGAATAAAAAAATCAAAGACTCTTAGAGTTGGGACCTTTGAGGTCATTGAGTAGAAATCCCCTCCACAATATTACTGACAAATAGCCACTGAGTCTCCATTTATTGAAGACTACCAGTAGCCAGAAACTCAAAAAGTTCCAAGTTAAATGTGTGATGAAGATACGAAGATTCTGCCCTGCCAAGGGCTAGACTTGGCCCTTCAGGGAACACTGAATGACCGCAGCAAGGCCAGCATTTCTTTATCCCAGAAGTGGCTGGATGTTTTGGTATAATTCCCCAAATAACACGGGCGTGTAGAGTTGAGATTATCAGATTCCTTAGTCCTGAATGGGTGTCCGTAGCAGTACTAGGGCAAGAAAGAAGGACAAGATTCTCTTGGCTCAAAGGACCACTTGAGGTAGAGAGCATCATCACTCCCTCACCCTAGCTTAAATAGGAGAAGGGAAGGTCATTCTTCATCTACACTCTGCAAGGGTGGGGAAGTAAGGTAGTGAGTGCACCAAGGTGAGCCACACAGGAAGAGTGATTTTCAGATTACTGCCTCAGGCACCACACCCCTGTCATGGACCAACTTATAAATATCATAAAATTTCATAATTTTCCATTACTATATCTTTGAAGGACACAATAATGAGCATTGTGTTGGTAAATCCTTGCGATGGCAGGAATTAACATTCCTACCTAGACTGGAATGACTCAGTTCTTAATAGGCTCTCCAGTACAGGGACGTCTCAGACTGCCTCTCCTTCAGTGATTGCCCCAGAGTTAAGGCCGGGGGATGAGGTTCCATGAAAACTCCATGCAACATGCTCAAGCATCCATTCCTGAATCTGACTCTGAAATTCTGAAAGTTATAAAAATGACCTTTACACATGCCCAAGGTACAAGACAAATGACACGCGCGTCAGTTTTTTCCACCTCTAAATCCATGACTCAAGGTTAGGAACGTAGGCAGGAGGATGGTGGTAAATATTTAACGACTGCTTGGGTGGGGTAAATGTACTCAGGATGCACTGTAGGTTTACTCTGCATTATTAAAATTTTCTCCATCACTTCTATGAGTCTAGACAACCAACAAAACAATAAACCAAGCCCTGATACGCAGCATTTTTAGATTTCTGAGGTACAGCTGCTCATCCTGAGAACTGAACAATTAGCTCTTGGATTGAGTTGGCTCCAATACAGCCCCGGGCCTAGGTGACTGAGGGGCTTATGAACCTCAGCAGCATAATGGATCTGCCAGGAAGACTCTGCTGGAGAGGTTAAAAGAGACGGGACAAGAGGCAAGGCAGGGACAGAGGCCTACCTTTCCTCCTTCATGGTCCTTTTGTTTCTATCACTCAAGGAACTCGGACGCAAAGAACCCTCTGCCCAGGAATTTATGGGGGAATTATAGGCACTGATCCAACTGGAGACAGTGGGAGAGGGGATTTTTGGGGAAAGGAACGTTGAGAGGCCAGTGCTCACCAGCTCTTCCCGATCACATGCCGGCTCAGGATGGGGAGA